CAATATGATATATAGCAATTATCATAAAAACACGTGCATGCACGTGCGCTGCAATTTGATTGGCTCAAACTTTAAATAGCTATAACTCCCTTGGTTTTCAACCAAACATGATGGGATTTGGAACATAGATAGATATAATGGACTTCTACAAGAGGGTATAGTCACCATGCACATGCATACACGTGCGTGTACTTGGGCTGCAATCTGATTGGCTGAAACTTAAAACAGCTATAACTCCCTTGGTTTTCAACCAAACAGGATGGTATTTCGAACATAGATAGATATAATGGACTTCTACAAGAAGTTATAGTCACCATGCACATGCATACACGTGCGTGTACTTGGGCTGCAATCTGATTGGCTGAAACTTAAAACAGCTATAACTCCCTTGGTTTTCAACGAAACGGGGTGAGATTTAGAACATAGATAGATGTAATGGACTTCTACAAGAAAGTATAGTTACCATGCTCATGTATGCACGTGTGTGCACGTGAAATGAGTAAATTCAAAAATACACTTGTATGAGCGTATTTGTAATACTTTTGGATTAAATACTTTAGTATTAAGTATAATGAAATATACTAAATTGTGTAGACAAGAAGATATGGTCATTACGCACAGGCATTCACATGCGCACACGTGCAATGCTAAAATTTGAATGAACTTGGTACACTTCTGGGTAAACGTTGTTAAAGTCTAAAATGCATAGATTTTGTCTTATTTAATGAAGCTTACAGGAAATATGGCACCAAAAGGGAGTTGGGGAGCGTTTGGGGAACATCTGTAACGGTCCCCGTTACAATTAGCACTAGTTATTATTATTTTTCTTCCTGGGAAAATTTTGTCCGCGAGTGATCTTGTAAACTACACATTCGACTTAGGTGAAACCTTTTTAGGGTTAGTAGGCATGTTATGTAGATTTGCGGAATCAAGGTCATTTTGCGCGCACGTGCTTGCAAGAGCGCGCACGTGCAAAACTTGAAATGACCAATATATAATGGATATAACCGTAACTTTTCTATTTTTAGACGAAATGTTTTGAAACTTATAATGTAAGGATATATGAGTAGTATGCACAAGATGACATGGTCAAAATAGCAAGATCGCACGTGCAAGCACGTGCGCTTCGCTCTGATTGGCTGAAACTAAAGTCTCAATATCTTTCTTGTTTTTTGATAAAATCATTTGAAATTTTGAACATAGTCATACATAAGGGAGATCTACAGCCCGTAATAAAAGAAATATCATGAAAGCATTTGCATGCACGTGTGCTTGCAAGCGCTCGCACGTGCAACACGAGAAATTTCCAATATAATTGATACAGACGTAACTATTTAAATTATTGATGATATGCTTTAAAACTCATATTAGAAGTATATATTAGAAGCATAGACAAGATGACATGGTCAAAAAAGCAAGATCTCACGCGCATGCACGTGTGCTTCGCTCTGATTGGCTGAAACTAAAGTCTCAATATCTTTCTTGTTTTTTGACGAAATCCTTTGAAATTTTAAACATAGGCATGTATTAGGATATCCCACAATAAGATATATAGCAATTATCATGAAAACGCGTGCATGCACGTGTGCTGCAATCTGATTGGCTTATGCTTTAAATAGCTATAACTCCCTTGGTTTTCAACCAAACAGGATGGGATTTGGAACATGGATAGATATAATGGACTTCTACAAGATATGGTCAACATGCACATGCATACACGTGCATGTACGTGCGCTTCAATCTGATTGGCTGAAACTTTGAACAGCTATAACTCCCTTGGTTTTCAACCAAACGGGGTGGTATTTAGAACAGAGATAGATGTAATGGACTTCTACAAGAAAGTATGGTCGCCATGCTCATGTGAGCACGTGCGTGCACGTGAAATGAGTAAAATCAAAAATACACTTGAATTAGCGTATTTTTTTAATACTTTTGGATTAAATACTTTGATACTTAGTATATTAAAATCTATAGATTGTATAGACAAGATTATATGGTCATTACGCACGTGCATTCACATGCGCACGCGTGCAATGCTTAAATTTAAATGAAATTGGTACACTTCTGGGTAAACGTTGTTAAAGTCTCAAATGCATAGAGTTTGTCTTATTTAATGAAGCTTATAGGGAATATGGCACCAAAAGGGAGTTGGGGAGCGTTTGGGGAACATCTGTAACGGTCCCCGTTACAATTAGCACTAGTTAAGGTCTTCCGTCTTCAGCGGAAGACCTTTCTGTTATTCTTAGGTTTCTTTTCCACAGTTTTTATTATTTTTTTTCTTACATATTTTGTGCACGCGAGTTCTCGAAAACGCCTTGATCGATTTTCATGAAACTTTCAGGAATGATAGAACATCAAAAAATCTAGATATATATTTTTTTGTTTTGATGACGTCACTTCCGGTTCGGAGATTTCTGCGATTTTGTCATTTTTAGAGGGTCACTTTGTCCGGCAATCTTCTCAAAAATCATTGAAGATAGAAGTGTGATTTTTTTAGGGATGCTAGAGCAAACTTTGGAGAAGTGCCTTTTGTATATCACAACTACCGGAAGTACGAAGCGCCGACGCTCGCTATGGCCCGAAAATAGACCTATCGCGAATTTCAAAATTTTTAACATCTTTTCTACGATAGCTTTTTACCTGGAAATATTTTGTTAAAACATATAGAACAAAAGAAGTGTAGAATTCCAAGATCTTTCAAACGATATCTTGTAAAAAGGGCTGGCCCCTAAAATTAAGGGCCTAGAGGGGCCGAAAGTTTTTTCTTTATATCTCAAAACGTATCGAGAATTTGTAATACATCAAAGAAGCAAAGTTGTCCAAAATGTTAAGTTTAATCTTTTGGCGTATTCAAAATACGTCCGGCGTCGTCACTTCCGGCAAAACCGGAAGTGGTCGGAAAACGCGTATTTTTGCCGAGCTTGGGAAGTTTTTGGGTAACATATGTCTCTGGGAGCATAAAAATTAATTTTCCGTCCATCGTCGTCACTTCCGGTCAAACCGGAAGTAGCAAAAAATGGCTTATTTTTGCATTAATGAACATAGTTTTAGATGATTCAACCCATTTTTTGGCGTTATTTGTCATTTTTGTTAAAAATGAAAGCTACTTCCGGTAGAACAGGACGGAAGACCTACTCGTTGCTTTGCAACGAGCTTTGCTCTAGTTATTATTATTATTATTTTTCTTCTTCCTGGGAAAATTTTGTCCATGAATGATCTTGTAAACAACACATCTGACTTAGGTGAAACCTTTTTAGGGTCAGTAGGCATGTTATGTAGAGTTGCCAAACGAAGGTCATTTTGCGCGCACGTGCTTGCAAGAGCGCGCACGTGCAACACGTGAAATGACCAATATAATCGATATTGCCGTAACTTTTCTATTTTTTGATGAAAATTCTTAAAACTCATAATGTAAGGATATATTAGTAGTATAGACAAGATGACATGGTCAAAATAGCAAGATCTCACGCGCATGCACGTGCGCTTCGCTCTGATTGGCTGAAACTAAAGTCTCAATATCTTTCTTGTTTTAAGTCATAATCCTTTGAAATTTTGAACTTAGTCACACATTATAAAGGTCTACAGCCTAATATATAAGAATTTTCATGAAAGCACGTACATGCACATGTGCTGGAAAGAGCGCGCACGTGCAACATGTGAAATAACCAATTTTATTGATGATGCCATAACATTTCTATTTCTTGATGAATTTTTTTGAAACTCATAATGTAAGGATACATTAGTAGTATAGACAAGATGACATGGTCAAAATAGCAAGATCTCACGCACATGCACGTGCGCTTCGCTCTGATTGGCTGAAACTAAAGTCTCAATATCTTTCTTGTTTTTTGTCATAATCCTTTGAAATTTTGAACATAGTCCTACATTATGAAGATCTACAGCCTGATAAATAAAAATTTTCATGAAAGCATGCGCATGCGCGCGTGCTGCTATCTGATTGGCTGAAACTTTAAATGGCTATATCTCCCTTGTTTTTTGACGAAATGCTTTGAAATTTAAAGCATAGACATGCATTAGGATATCCTACAATATGATATAGAAAAAATTCATGAAATCATGTGCATGCACGTGTGCTGCAATCTGATTGGCTGAAACTTGAAATGGCTATAACTCCCTTGTTTTTCAACCAAACAGGATGAGATTTAGAACATAGATAGATATAAGGTACTCCTAAAAGAAGGTATGGCCATCATGCACGTGCACGCACGTGCGTGCATTTGGAACGGGTGAAATTGAAAATACACTTGAATGAGTGATTTTTGATACTTTTGGACTAAATGCTAAAATATAAAGTATATTTTAATATATAGAAAGTGTAGACAAGATTATATGATCATTATGCACGTGCATTCACATGGGCACGCGTTCAATGTTAAAATTTGAATATAATTGGTATCCTTTTGGGAAAACGTTGTTAAAGTCAAAAATGCACAGATGTTGTCTTATTTAATAAGGCTTACAGGGAATATGGCACCAAAAGGGAGTGTGGGAGCGTTTGGGGAACATCTGTAACGGTTCCCGTTACAATTAGCACTAGTTTGTATATTGTTTTATTGACTCTCGATTTTGAATACTGTTCGTTATCTTCATTATTTCATTCAATCAGCCAAGAAAAATGACAAAAATGGTAAAATGATTCTAAAGGGAAAAAACAAATAAATAAATCGACAAGTCTGAATCACACGCCCGTTTAAAATTTTAATTCCATCCCTAATTAATTATGTCGGATACTTAATATCGAAAGTTGAACTTCCGGGGGCGGATCATCGGAGAAGATAACACAACTCTTACACTGGAAATAGGCTGTGGTATGTAATGTGCTGTTGTTATATACTTAAAATATAGGAGTATCAATATTTTTTTTCGAAAATTTAGGCATCTGTAAAGTACTATTTACAATTAAAAAAAAATTAGCCATAGCTATTTTGTAAGTTCCCAAAAGACTAACATTATTTTACATTATTTAACAAAGGAGAGAGATGGCTTCTTCGTCTACCTGGGCACAGGATGTGATCACTTGTGATCTTTGTGACAAACCCACCCACCAATTCTGCAACAACTGCAATGTCACTGTGTGTGTAGATTGCATTGATAAACATGTAGAAAGTCTGAAGTCCCAAATGCATGACATTGTTCCTTTTAAAGAGAGAAAAAAACGGCTCGTATTCTCTGCATGTGCTTCTCATGCAAACCAAAAAGGTCTGAGACACTGTCAACAATGTGATATCCCTATCTGCTTCAAGTGTGCCATAGGTCCCCACAGCGGCCATACTATCAAAGACATGAGAGATATTGTACAGCAGATAAAAGAAGAAATCAACAGAGAAACTCGGTTAATTGTCTTTTTAACTTCAAGAATTGAATCAAATGGCGCAAAAATTGATCAAAAGATATCTGACATGACGGGAGAATTTGAAGAAATGGAGAAAAAGGGGGAAAATCTGAGAAGAATCTGGCATGAAGAAGTAGACACCATTTTCAATGTGCTACAATCAACCATTAGAACAACGAAAGAGAAAGGAATCTCAGCTCTCAGATCACATCAGTCCAGGCTTCAGGATAAAGGGACAAAATTAACACTTATAACGCAAAGAAACAAAGAAATTCTTGAATCTAATAAAGTTTCTGATGTTACAGGTTACAAACAAAAAGTGAAGAAAATAGTTTTTCCTATGGATTTTGATGTAAAGATTCCTTCTTTGAAAACCAAAGCATGCCCGGGGAGTGAACTCAACATAGAATTAGGAGAGTACAAGGCCACACTGACTCAGACATCGATATCAACTCTGACAGAGGAAAACCCCATTTTAATTGAGAGAAAATCCCTGGACACAGCTAAAGTTGTTGCTTGTATTTCTTCTGGAATAAAACCCTTAGGTCCAATCATCTGTATTGGAACCCATGAAGCTTGGGTTCGTGGTCAAGACAAATTCATAAGACGCATTGACCTACATGGATTTCTGAAAAGCAGGATTTCCACCCAATGTAAATTATATCCAAATGATATTTCAGTGACAAAACATGGAGAACTGATATACAGCGATTATGACAGCAGAACAGTAAACATAGTAACAAAGGGTATGATAGAGACACTGATCACTCTACCTAGGGGATGGTACCCAGGTGGACTATGCTGTTCCAGATCAGGGGACATTCTAGTTAGTATGGGAAATCTTGATAAAAGTCACAACAAAATAGTCCGCTATCAGGGACGAGCAGCAGCACAAGAAATACATAAAGATAAACACAATCAACCTTATTTCAGAATTGGCAAATATGGTGTTTATGTGGAGGAAAATAACAATGGAGACATCTGTGCCTCTGATATGAATGCCAAGAAGGTAATGGTGATGGACAAGACAGGAAAAGTCCGATTCCGTTACGATGGTACACCAGCCAGGAGGATAAAGCCATTCTTTCCTGCGTGCATTGCTACAGATTCACTAAGCCAGATCATTGTAACTGATGTTAATAATGATTGCCTTCATTTATTAGATCAGAATGGACAGTTTCTAAGATGTGTTGATAATTGTGGACTTCTGAGTCCTGTAGGACTGAGTGTGGACAGCGAGGGGAGGTTGTGGGTAGGGTGTCAAGAATCAGGTGTTATCAAAGTCATCCAGTACTTGGAGTAAAAGAAACATCCACATCAATATAAGTATATGCGTTGTTACCTTTCAACGAAGATTGATGAATAAAGTATGTGAATTGTCTACAGGTTTCAACGAAAAAGGAGCTAATCAATCAGTCTACTTAAAAAAAACGAAGGACATATTGTTTTAAAATTTAGGAAATTAAATCGACTTTTATTGATTTCCAATTGGAAATTCCCAGGTCTACGAGCATATGGAAAAATCAAAAAATGTCCAAAACTTTAAATAATCTAGCCAAAATTCTTTCAGGACTCTCAACTTTTTTTAACATTAAAATTGAAGCTCCATTTTTACCTTGAAATGTCTACCGCAGAAGAAGTGACTCAGCAGCCGAATGAAAGTAACTGCTGTCAACAACTTCTGTTGGTACATTATCTGCCTTGCACGATAGGTACACGTTTATACTTTGCAGAACATAAAATCCATGTTCATAAATGAAACGGCTTTGAGTGTCGAGTATTGGTCAAAAGTTTAGGCTTAGCAGTTCTCCATTGACAAATTGTGGCATCTCTTTATTGTTTAAAAATTCTCAAGAGGGACAACAAAAAATACTGTCGCAGTGTTTATGATTATTAAATGACACGACCTATTTTAACTTAAGGAGTTGATACTAGTTAATTTAAATTCTTTTTAAGATATTAAATGCACTTAGTTATTGTTTGATACATAATAAAACATATTTTAATGAGATACAATGTAAATAAACTTTAATTATACATTTAATAAATTGGTAGTATTATACAAGAGACAAAATCGCTAACAGACAAGGAAATTTAATATATTTTCTCCAAAATTTGTTTATGATGTATAAGTATTTGATTGTAATTATATGTAATTGCTACTATACTGTGTAACTAATATGTTAACTGAAAAGTAACAATTCAAAAAATGGTAATCTCATGCATAGTTTTTTTGAGGGAATTTATTTTCTCTTTGTTTGCGTCCTTATGTTTGAACTAATACAAACGTGGGAAAACTTGCACCGTATACACAGTATATGGTTTCTGTAGGGAGAAAAATTTATAACTAAGACTTATTCATGCTGTAGAGGAAAAAATATATATCAAAATTATTCTTTGGCATCTGATCCTACCTCTAATGTTTTAGAGGTCTTTGTCTGCTCTCGATTTGTATTGGTTCAATGAACTTTGAGGTTTTTGTTATTTTGATATGAAAAGACTTAAACTTTTCGTAAACTTTCCTTATCTATATAGTGAATAAATCTACAATTATTGCTTGGCTATGGTGATGGTGTTCTGATTGAAATACAAGGATATGCTATTGACAAATAAGTTGCTTAAACAGGGATATCATCAGTCTCGTTTAACGTCAACATTTTGCAAATTCTACAGTCGATATGCTAATCATGTCAGCATATGAAACATATAGAGTATTCAAGATCAAAAGTCCATAAAACAATACAAAGTGGAGCAGAGCAAACATGGACCTCCGAAACATCAGAGGTGGGATCAGGTGTCATGGAGGAGTGAGCATCCCCTGCCGACCGGTCACACCCGCCGTGTGCTCCTTGTCATAATCAGGAAATAACGGAAAAACCCGTTGTTAATTCTGTGTATAACAAATGGACTAACAATTGGTATGAAAAACATCAATCAATATTTGAACTTGTTTGTCAATAATTTTCCTCGTTCATAAAAAAAATGTTTATACGCAGATCATTCTCTTGCGTATCGAATCAACTGAGGCATATTGCTGCATTAAGTTATTAAAGTTGACAATACCAAAGTTAAAGTCATATATACGATGTATAATTAAGTCAAGCTATGACAGGCGTTTTTCGTGCGATATGTTAGGACATAATTTGCACATTGAATTTGCTTTGGATTTTCCCTTTACCAGTTCACGACAAGGAGCACGTGACAGGGATGATCGGTCGACAGAGGATGGTTACTTCTTCATGGCACCTGATCCCACCTTTGATGTTCTAGAGGCCCGTGTTTGCTCTGCTCTAGATCTGTATTGTTTTAATGGACTTTTGAGTCTGATTACTGTTCCAGTATTTTTATTATTCCACAAAACTGAGGAAATCTCTACATGGAGTTGGGTAAGACATGACATGGACACTGAGACACAGACTAACTACAAGGCCATAAGATAAAGTCAATTGCCGTATATTATTTGATTGTAAACTGCGAGACTGTTGCAACCTCTATTGAAATAACAAACACTATTGAAATAATTTCAGTAATGCTTGAAAGTGCATTTCAATAACAAACGTAGGTTGCAACCACTATTGAAATACGACCACTATCGAAATATATATTTCAATTGTTTCTGGGAGTACATTTTAGTAACAATCATAGGTTGCAACCACTATTGATAAACGAGCACCATTGAAATAAATATTTCATTGTTGAGCCCCTTTCAATACCAAACACAGGTTGCAACCACTATTGAAATAATGATTATTTTTGAAATGAAGATTTCAATAGTTTTTAAAATATTGATTTCAAAGCTGATTGAAATATTAATTTCAATAGTGCTTTAAACATTGATTCCAAACAATATTAAAATGGTTTTAATAGTTGCTGAGAATGATTTCCATACCAAAACCACATTGAAAGCTGTATAGAAGTATCCAAACTATTAACAAATACAAAGATGGATTACAAATTCTGTTTTCTAACACATTAAACCAATTTACCGAGTTTTTAAACTAATTTAAGGGTCTTATATTAAAACATTGCATTGGAAAAATGGCATTTTATATATGCTCAGTCTGGTCTTTTAAATGCAAATGTTCTATTCAAAATATTTAGAACAACGAGTAAAGTTAGAAATTTTATCTGGTGTATACAGTATATATGTATAAAGAGAATGGCAAATTAATTTCCGAAACAAACCTGCATGGAGATTGGGAAAAACAATCGAGTTCACAAGCCAAATTACTGGATATGTAACCGGTATTTTGGGCTTTTTGGAATATTTAAAGATGATGATAAAGCTATGCAGGTGGAGGGATGAGATGCCGCGTAGGCAGCATTATTTTGTCGACCGGTTTCGCATAATTTACACTTCGGATGTTTTGCGTTCCGGCGGGTAAACTGTGTCATGCCCTTTCTGTAGTATTTTTAAAAATAAATGAATAAGTAGTCTCAGTGTCCTATTTACTAACCTAATAATACTCTTTCTGATACATATGTGTACACCATACTAAATTGTCGCAGTTTTAGGCATTATCAGGTGTTAATCTTTCGCTTTTTGAGAATGCATGCAGACCTGGTAAACAGGTGAAGGTCGAGTGTAGGAGATGAACAAGACTAGGATTACATTAACCTAATATATAAAGAAACGCATTGTTAGATTAATTAATTTTTATTTTATAATTTGATGTAAGTAAAGAACAAATTTTGATAGGCTAATCATATAATTTCAGGTACGAATTCTCTGTTTAAATGATATTACACCTGTTGAAATTTCCTTGAAGTTTCACATTCGTTGCTTCCGTTCCTCGTAATGAGATATTTCTTTTTAATGTAATGGCAGGATGATATAGTTTATAATACATTGCCATAGAATAGAAACAGTGAAATTATTTTTCTTGTAGAGCCTCACTGTATTTAGCTACAGAACTGTAGCTCTCGAAAAATATATATTGAAAAACTGGAAAGCTACTATGCAATGCGTTTTTGCACAAAAAAGAGTGCTCGATTTTGTATTAATTTCTCCAAATTCTTATCTCAATTGAAAAAAGTATATTTTTTTATTTCCTACTCAATAAAGTACTCTGGTAGTTAAACCGACTTATCTTGGAAACCAAAATATAGTATAAACAGTATAAATAGGCGAAATTCTCAAAGATCTAAATTTCAGGGCCAGGTGGGCTATTAAAAACAGAATTAGTTAGGAAAATACGGTAATTAATATTCTGAGATGACAGTTTAAAAAACATGGAAAGATAAATCAATAATTATTATATCATACACGGTTGGTAGCGTCATATCCAATCACGAAAAGGTATCCATAACACTTTTTTACCCATATTATTCAAATTTGGTATTTAAACATGTGTACCAAATTTGGATATTATATGACTTCAACTAAAAAATTAGGAAAAAATCTTCAAACTTTTTTCATTATCCCAGAGACTCATATATCACAATAAGAAGGAGGGTAAATGTCGTCATCGATGAAGATGAAATGATTTTCTTTTGTCTATATTTATAAAAACAATATACGACGAATTTTATCGTTCAATTAAAGGTCATTGTCTGACTATTAATTTTTCATTCGTATTTTTCTAAATTGCTCATAGTCTTTCTTTTAAATTACTAATTTTTTCTCTTCCTGATACATAAAAGCTGGAGGTAAGCGATGATTCCAGATACATGTATACATTTCACAAATGTATAATAAAGAAAAATAAATTTACCGATATGTTATGGATAATAATAATAATAATAATAATAATAATAATAATAATAACTTTTATTTATCAAGGATTACACAATTAGCATAAAGCTAGTTTGCATTGTGAACCTATTTACTATCATATTATAGGCATATAAACTTAGCATCCAAATATAAATACATCACTTGACATACATGAATTAAGAATCATATTCATAATCAATACACTCATATCTTGACACTCACAATAAATTAAAAAGGAAACCAATTAACTAGAATTCCAAACATTTTGTAAAAGTTTCTTCCATAGAACTGCAGATAACAACCTTAAGTAACGTATTTAAAGGCATAAAATAGCTAACACTCTCTTTCTTAAACTGTTCTTTGAAATAAAATATACAGAAGCATCCCAAGATAGGGTATATTTTCATATGTCTATTGGCACCATGCCATCTGAAATATCATATTTCTGATGTACTTTTGATCTGCAGATTTAAAGTTATTTTAATGAATTCTATATGGAATGCATGGCATTGTACTAACAACTTCAGAGGTACGTTGAGCCTCATTGTTAATATGTCAGTTCATATCTGAAGGTTTTTCAATATGAT